AGAGAGAGAGAGAAGAAAAACATGAGCAGGGGAGGGGCAGAGAGAGAGGGAGACACAGAATCCGAAGCAGGCTCCAGGCTGTCAGTACAGAGCCTGACTTGGGGCTCGAACCCACAAACTGAGATCATGACCTGAGCTGAAGTCAGAGGCTTAACTGGCTGAGCCACCCAGGTGCCACTCTGTCACATACTTTAACACACACAGGCCACTCACACAGGCTTCCTCTCTGTTTGGTAGCTGAGCTCCCTATCACTTTGACAGGCTGCAGCCTGGTGCTTGGTTCCTCTGCACACCCACACAGTGCCCCCAGGCCAGCCATATTATTCTGCCACGTTGGGATTAGCAGTCACTTACCCAAATCTGTGCTTGGGAGAAAGAGTGAGAGAAGAGGGAAGTGGAGAGAGAAGGAGAGGGAGAGAGGGAGAGAGGCCACTACCCATTCTGGGGAATGGCTGTTTGATGAGAGCTGTTTCTAGTTGGTATCTTAGTGGATCCTACCCCCCTCATCCCATGGGTGGTTGGGCTGGGAGGCAGTAGGCTGGAGTTCTGGGCTTCTCCTTACCTCACTGATGTTGGGCCTCAAGTTCACTAACACCTCTTTGTCCCGAGGAGAGTGTGCACTACCTTTTACCAGGCAGACTGTGGGGGCTGTTGTAACCATTTCTCCTGGCTGAACCTAACTTAGGGAAAAAAGGGAGAGGGGGCTGGTTCATGAGTCCTGCAGGACCTTCTCTTTCCAAAGAGTTCTGGAGTGCTCCCAGAGAGAGAATTCTAGGGTGGCAGGAGCTGCTGACCTGCTTCCTTTGGTATCCCACGGCCATGACTCCCATGGCCAAAAGCCATTTTGTTCAGCCCTGAACGGTGAGTGCCTTGCCACCAGCGCTCCTGCCCCATGCTTGAGAGTGTGATGTGTTGTTGTTTAAAGTTGCCTTGTTGCCTTTCTCCACACCCAGACTGTAAGTCTGGAAGGGTAGAGACTCTGTCCTTCAGTTCTCACTCAGTGCTTCCCACCAGGATTGGTTTAATGCACTCTAATGGCATTGGAGAAT